TTATTTGAAGTTAGGAAGAAAATTGTAGACAAATCTAGATAAATTCATGATGATAAAAGTAAAATCAAATCTTAAAATTCATGGTAATCAAGGCACAATACATCTGAAAAAGATTTAAAGTGCCATTTTTAAAGATACATATTTACTATTCTATAGTTTCTATTTACGTCCAGCTGAATCGGGACACACCAAGGCAACAACTACTTACAACCATAGATACAATTCGCTTCTGGCTATTGGAATTAGGTATCTATGACAGCAACACGTGGCAAATGCGATTGCACCAAATGTATTTTAAGACCCAACAATGGGGGTATTGATTGAAATTTGCATAGACTTCTGAACCAGATTAGCCGGCGTTTAGAACCGCATTCCTGGAAACGAAAATTCCAGCAGCACGCCGGTTTCAGTGTCACGTATTCCTGCGATGTGATCTTTGTGGGCCTGACAAATGCCGGGTCTTATCCTTATCGCAGGCTCGTGTCTGTTGACCTTTCCTGTCCGGAATTCTCAAGCAGTTCGCAGAAGAAGCCGCCATAAAACAGCCACTTATATAATACCCAAGAAGCGGCGAGTTCTGCTTTTGATAAGCCATAGCTGGGCGGTATGCTGCTGAAATTATGTTTAGCAGGATACCTTTAATTACGGCACGTTATTGTGGTGGCCACCTTCTGCTGACTGCTACTTTATGGCCGTAATTCTGCTGAAAACTTTGGCGCTGCAGTAAATTTTGCACAAAGTACACTTGCACAAAGGGCGTCGACAGCAAAGATAAAGAGGCAGCCAAAGCTAGATCCAGCACACTGGAAAAATGTTTATATATTTTGATAAAATATATTGTCTGCTTAATTTTAAGCTGTTAATAAAAACTTTTCTTTGAGAACTTCAACATTAAAACATTTTGAATGGGGCTAAATCTAGTTATTTTTTGCTTTGTAAATGAAGGTGTTTTAACAAAAATCACAACACCTTTCTATTCCAAAAAAATTTAAATATTTATATTTTTTTAACAAGTTGATAAAAACTTAAATTCCACTAAAAGCATACAATTATTTTTCGTTTCTTCGTTTTAAAATATAAATACTACATTTTAAGATCCTATTTTTTAATCACTTATCATTCTTATTTTTCATCTTTTTAACATACAGCGAGAGCAAAAATTTTATGCAAGTTAGAATAAAATTCCTGAAAGACCAAAATATGTTGATGCTTACACCCACTTGTTTCTCATGCTAATGTGATTTGATAACAATTTTTTTAAAGTGTAAGCCAAACACAAGCAGAGGATACCGCAAAATGTTACGCCCTCAGGCACGCACACAGACATATAGAATAACACACACAGACATAACAGAGGCACTCACACAGGTGGCCGAAAAATTTACTGTCTGAAATGGCAAGTCGCGTGTTGTAATTTTCATGTGTCGGCAAAACGGAAACGGAAAGAGCAAAGCAAACAGAACACAGCCGACTTTCTAAACACACACCAGCACAACAACAGCCCCTAGCACACACACACGCACACACCGAAACACCAAAGCACCACAACACAGGCAAACAAAGACAAACACTCACCGATGGGCGAAAAAGGACGAAAACCACAGCGAACGATAATGGAAAGCATTAAAGCAGATTACTTGTGAAGCCAAAATGCCAAGAGACACAGCGGCGGTCTGAATTAGTGAAATTCAAGGACGAGACTCCTTTTTTGTATGCGCGAAAAGGCTTCGAATTGATGAAGATGAAGGTCATTCGGCGGTGGCTGCAATCAGTGCCTCCTCTTCGGAGGATAGTGCTTCCCATTTTGTTGGTCCGCCATTTGGCCAGGCCAATTTTAATTATTTATTTCTTCTCACTGGATTCAAGCAGCCCCAATTCGGTGATGGCGTTTTGGCCATTTTGGTCATATTTCCAGAGATACTATTTAAAACTTTACTAATTTCGGTATTTTAGTTTATTTACCTATAAATTAATATTCAAAAAGAATAAATCAAAATTTAAAAAGTATAACATAACAAACTTTAAAGTAAATGAAATATATAAAACATGTACAAAACTCGAAGGGTATTGAATTTGTTAATTTAGATAAGTATATTAATTATAGAATACTATTTTAATATTACAAATATTATATATATTAATATTTAAAGCTTAACATATTTATAAAATTGGTTAAAATACATGGGAAAATATAACTAAAGTAATAGTTAAATAAATTAAAAAAATAATTGGCTCCTATTCTTCTAACAATTTACTTTTTTATCATTAATTTACCTTTATTTCACAAATAAACGCTACTACTATCAATGCCCAAGACTAGGCAACACTATCCGTAATGGTTATAACCCGCCCACCCACACACACTCAGCCATTCGAGTTAAAACTAAGAAGGAGGAAAAGAACTTGTCGCTGGGCAATTTGTTTAATGAAATCATCAAATTAAATAAAATGTGCGGGCCCCAAAAAGTGTAAGTGTAAGCAATTTGCTGCCGCCTTTGTTGTTGTTTGTTGTTTTTGGCTTTCTGTGTCATGAAATATAAAACCACAGTATGACATGGCCCAAACCCCACGAATCCCCGTTCCACCGCCTAACACGTGCCCACCCACTAACGACCAGAATTACACTGAAAATAAATGCGTCTTGATATTAGAAAAATTATTTTAAGTATTTGAGATTTTTTGTGTTTTTTTTAAGACAGTTTAAAAAACTCCCAGGAAGGAAAATGCTTGCATATATTTTATCATTTATATTTTCGTGTACATTTTGTTGTTTTTTTTTCAGTACTGTGGAATTGTAACCAGAGTCAACAGCATAACTCTGCGCGTGTTGGTCGAATGCTCGCACGTCTCCTAGGCTGTCATTTTGGCCATGTTTCCAGCCTAAATAGCCCATCGCCCCTCGACTTGATCCTGGCCAAAATACCCCCTCGGGCGTTTCAATTACATTATTAATCACATCACTCGCAGGTCTTATTTTAAGCAGTTTGCCGCCCCAGCTGCCGGGCAATAAATTCGTTGGCCACGAACAAAACTTTTTCAATTAACACAAAATTATGCAAATTGAGAGGCTGCCAAAGTCGCAGCCATAGGAGTTGCTTAGATAGCGATAAGACAAATGGCGTTGGCATAGATTTTGGGTATTAAATTTATAGGGGGCAGGGTGTTTGTGCAGTGAAATTTAAAAGAATTATGACCTACCACAACGGGACAAGTTTTTGTGCTTCGGGGTTTTGTTACAAGAGAAGTAATGAATAATTGCAAATTATGGCCAGTCTTTAATAAGTACACTACTGGTCAAAAGAATAAGTACACACGTTACACCCTCACTTGCTAAGAGATATCTCTATAGTTATTGAGGCCAGACCTCCCAAACCTTTTTACTTGGAAAGGTTATTCTGTTCTGCAATATTTAAATAAACAATGGATACAGTAAAACCTGTCTAATCCATGTTAGCCCTACATTTGTGCGATAGGTCGGTTTTGGTGTGGTCAAAATAATAAGTACACTTGTGTTACTTATAAATTTTAAAATATTAAATCTAGAATGGGGCTACGGTTAGTATTTTATCTTAAGTTAGGATCATGTTTATAAGAAGTCTGGGCCAATTGGACGATCCAAAAAGTTTCCAAGCCTGGATTTGGTTATTTCAAAGTCATCATCCATGCTAAAATCTGATTTGCAGCTTAAAAGGAACACTTAACACTTAAGTATGGCTTGTGATTCACTAAAATTTCCTTAAAAATACTACTCTGAATAAAATAAAATCGATTTGGAAAAAAATGAGTACTTACACCGTAAAAAATTAGGAAAAAGGGGAAATAAATAAGAAAAAACCAAAGTTACACGCGGCTTTAATTTAAAAAAAAATAGTTAAATTTTAAATTCTTATTTTTTTTATTTTTATTTTGATAGTAGATAAAACGACTAAAAAAAAGAGATATGCTTCATTAAGATCGGTCAACAAATTATTAAATGGCTGTTGACGATGTGCACGATAACAAAACTGCTATATCGTTAAAAACGAATTTCATACAAACTTGTATGGACGGGCAATTTGTATTTATGTATAGATATCTAGCGTTGTGCGATTCATGTAGTACGGTTTAAGTTGTTTACCGATCTTAGTGAAACATATCTCATTTTTTTAGTCGTTTTATCTGCTATCAAAATAAAAATAAAAAAATTAAGAATTTAAAATTTAACTATTTTTTTTAATATTAAAACCGCATGTAACTTTGGTTTTTTCTTATTTATTTCCCCTTTTTCCTTATTTTTTACGGTGTAAGTACTCATTTTTTTCCAAATCGATTTTTTTTTATTCAGAGTAGTATTTTTAAGGAAATTTTAGTGAATCACAAGCCATACTTAAGTGTTAAGTGTTCCTTTTAAGCTGAAAATCAGATTTTAGCATGGATGATGACTTTGAAATAACCAAATCCAGGCTTGGAAACTTTTTGGATCGTCCAATTGGCCCAGACTTCTTATAAACATGATCCTAACTTAAGATAAAATACTAACCGTAGCCCCATTCTAGATTTAATACTTTAAAATTTATAAGTAACACAAGTGTACTTATTATTTTGACCACACCAAAACCGACCTATCGCACAAATGTAGGGCTAACATGGATTAGACAGGTTTTACTGTATCCATTGTTTATTTAAATATTGCAGAACAGAATAACCTTTCCAAGTAAAAAGGTTTGGGAGGTCTGGCCTCAATAACTATAGAGATATCTCTTAGCAAGTGAGGGTGTAACGTGTGTACTTATTCTTTTGACCAGTAGTGTACATATATTACTCGTGAACAAATTGACACTTAACGTAGCTTAAAATTTTAATTGGTTCTTAGTATTTATAGTTCTTAATTTATATTTATTTTCAATGATGGATACGCCGTTTAACTGTGGTCCTTCGGGCCGCCTTTTTCCGATATCCCAATCTAATAGAACAGCAATAAGGTTACTCAAACAAACATATGTATATCAATTAATGGAACCTTACCTATCCATTAACAGCTTTATTGTACTGCCCTTAAGGATAAGCAGCCCAAATATGATAATACCAAAGGTGGCGTTCAAGTAAATGGTAATATTTAAGAAAATTGTGCCCAGAAAGAAATGAAAGTCCTCCGCCAAACGTGAAATTCGGTCCAGGATCCAAGATACGCCCATTATGACAAACAGCCGCAGAAACTGTAGGTAACTAAAACACGAAAAAGATATCAATCTTGGTTCCACAGTACTAAAATGTCCAGTTCTTACGTCTGTTGGGAAAACCTATTGACTTCCCTCTTTACTTTCCAAATATACACAGCCGTTAGAACGAACATGGTAGCATTAAAAGTGGTTAGGATCAGAATAGGGCCATGAAAGTAAATCCAGGAAGACCAGCCCCAATCTGTGAACAATTGAAAATTAATTCACTATTAATTACTTTTAACTAGTTAGATTTAAATCTAATAAAACCAACCTTGCACAGAGCATCCAATAAAACCCACCAAAGGCATCCAGTTCCTTTTTTCGGGATCCTCTCCCCAAATTTCATTCATTAAATAAATTACTCCTGTGGGAATAGCAGCCGTGCCCCAAACAAATGCGCTGTACTTTAAGAACAGATAACGTGCTTCATAGCGATTCAGGGAAGTGAAAAGTTTTTTCAAATGATAGCTAATGACCGAGAACCAGAGATAGGAAGCCATCGAGAAATAGTATTTACTGTAGCCTAAAAAAGAGTTTATTGTAAAATAAAACCCTTTCCGAATTTAAATTTACAACTAACCTGCTGGAGTGCAAATGCCATATAATAAATTAAATTGGTCCAAAGTCCAGATAAAGTACTCCATAAACATGCCGAATAGGCAGCATATAAGGCATTTACCGAGTAAGTTACGGAGTTTCTCAACAAAAAGATACACAGCCATAGTCAGGATAAAACATGCTAGAGATATTAACGTAACTGAAAGTACATTAACACATTGAAATAATATGAATAAATATTTATAAATATGCATTCCCTTACGTTCCAGGGTCGCTGGCATCAAATTCCTTATACACTTTCTATTAACAATCCATAAGATCTTCGGAAAGTCCGAATAAACTTCAGGATAAAGGCAGTATTGTTCATTCTGCAAGATCTCGTTAGTGGAGTGGAGAAGTAAGGACCCATCCTAAAAAGTTGTCTTTTAAAGAGCGAAATAGTTGGCACATTGTAATCAAACCTTCAACATGGTGTACTCATCTGCTTTCAGGTTAAAAATCTCGTCGCAGGGCTGAAATTGGTCCCTTAAAACGAGTAGCTTGGTAGAATTGTATTGCGGCGCCATCCTAAGCTCCGCAATAGTCGGATCATTTGTTATTATATCTTCCATTGTAAGATTCAACATGGTTAGGGAAATCTCCTTCTTCAGGCCATCATTACACTCCCCGTTGGCCAGAATATTCTTGCGGGGACAGCACATCCGTATGCAGGGTCTCACTTTGCAGACACAGGCTCTTAGGTGTTCGTTAACCGACTCTTTGGATCCATCCACTATTTTCAGAAAACTATAATCCCCAGTTAGGTTAGCGGGAATTTCAAGATCTTCATATGTAAATGTATCGTTGGCTTGTAAGTATCTGCATTCTCGAATATATCCTTTTGATATATTCACGATAGTTAAGATACAAATGGTACCGATCAGTTTCGAGGACAGACACATTTTTGATTTTAAACCTTCTGCGCGAAGAGCTAATTCCGACTAATTGTCGAAACGCATTGTTTTCAGATTAAATAGCTTTGCATCTCAGGGCTTTGACTTTTATAATCAGCGGCACAGAAACAGAACCATTACTCGAGTTCTCTAAAGAACATAATCTTTCTTAATACTAATAAATGGACATTTAATGTTCGCTTGGGGTGTCATAAATTTAAGAAATAATGATTTCAATGAAATTAAATCTGGGCAAATTCTCTGTATACCCAATTATGTTTACAAATGATCTTTCGATAGAAACATTAATGTTTTTTAGTGAGTTCACTACATTTGCGAGCTCAAAAACTTTTGTATAATGTTGATTGTTTTAAATTAAATTTGTATGCTTTTAAATAAGTATGCTTTTGTACCTCAAGATATCCCCACAGGCGACGCTTCTAATGACTGTTAATGCGCTTGTACGTGTTGTTAGCTGCTCATTACGGCGAAGGAGCAATAATTTCACGAATATACAGAACAAGCCCAGGATACACCTGATGCTCGCGAGGGGAGAAAACTACACGGAGAAAACTAAAGCTGTACATTAGTCGTAATTAAATTTAATATTGAACGAAGAAATTACCTGTTTTTTTTTGTTTCCATATTATAAGATTTATTATTTTAAGATAACTCAAATGTCTAATTTTTTTGTCACATATTTGAGGAAATAAAATTCTTTTTAACTGTAGTCAAAAGTTCTCGAAATTCCAGATGCATTTGCAGCGCTTCGTCATTCATCAGCGCGAGTTGTGCGTCCACATTGTCTCTTCTGAGAATGAGGATGAGGCTGTGGCTCTCATCCGCAGAAACAAGGACACTGAAGGATGGCGGCGAGGAGCTGTCTCGTTATGCTTACTTAGCTGCTTAATTTATGCATTGTGCGGGGTGCAAATGATGCATTGTTTGCCATTGCAGTGTGTTTTCTGGCCTGGTGGTACATTTCTCCCCTGAACCAGTTTACCATGGTGTCCCAGACTCTGAAGCTCAGACGAGGTGAATGGGCTACACTAATCAAATATAACTTTTTAAGAAGGAAAAAGGTTTTAAATAAGTTGCCTAGATAAGTCTTTTTGAAAAAAGACGTAGATTAGTCTTAAATTAATGAAAATATGTTGAATATTTTTATTAATTTTCCTGTTAATCACAAACAAAATTGAGTTTGGTAAAATATCGACGTCCTTTTATTAAAAATTAAAACAAATATTGCTTCGTGGAAAATAACAAAGGAATTGTTTCAAGTTTATGAGTTTTTATTACACGGTTAACTCCATACACTTTCTTGAGCTGAGCAGCCACATGCCACAACCACTGCCACTAAATTGCGCAAAGTTGCACCCTAAAGATGCAGCAACTAAAGTTGTGGCCGTGCTCACCTTTTCCACCGGGGGCGCTCTGAAACCTGCAATTAAGTTAGTGGCTTTCTTTCTTGCCACCTGCAGCAACAGCTCACTAAATGTGCATCGCGGCACTTAAAACACACTTGGCTTAAAGAGGAAACTCGGTTCTTAATTAAATACAATCACTTTTTTAATACTTGTCAACTTTATGGGAGTAAAATGGGAAGATTTTAGCGTATTAAAGTATTTATTGACATAAAGTACGTTCCTTTATCCACTGTTAGCTTTAAAAGAATACAAATTAAGTATTATTTAAAAGGAAATAATTATCACAAGCATAAGAACAATTAAAAAATTAAATAATTAGCTAACCTGTTTTCTTAAAATTCAACAGGTACACAAATAAAAGCTTATGAACATTGTACAAGTATAATATACTTTTTATAATCTACATCTTAAGAAAAATTAAAAAAGCTTTCCTTTAATTCTTGGCTGTAAAAGAGCAATTCTCGGATGAAAGCGCCAATATTGCCGCAAGTTGGTCGACAGGCTGGCAAATAAGCATTAATACCCATTGACCAGTCTGATCGATTCGTCTGGTGACGTTGGCTCAGAGGATGTTTCCTGGCTCGAAAAACACCATCAATTGGCAATTATATGCTATGAAAATGCTGCGCCATTTGAATTAAATGTACCGGCTGCTCCTGAGTGACGTGGAATCATTTCGTTTGCGCATAAATCAAACAGGAATTGCGTTGAAATTTTCCTTCAATTGATTTACTGTTGACTTATTGCTGTTTTCATTTCTTTTCGGTTTGCAACGCTTCTGTTGCTTGCGCAAAATGTATATTTTTAATGTGCCCTGTTCTGCCTGGAGGCGTTTTTCATTTATTTCCCTGACTGTCTTTGGTAAATATTACATAATGATAAGCGAAACAAAAAGTGTAGAGCGCTTTGGGCCGCGTTTATTTATTGTTACTTGTAGCTAGAGTTGGCTTTTGAGATTTATTCACGCCAATTTAAGTTTTTGTGAAATTATTTTTCTGGAAAACGAACCTGTTATAAATGTATTCAACTGGCAATTTACAAATTTTTTTAATTACAATTATAATTTTTAAAATGGTTTTTAATTTCTACTGATTTTTGTATGACCTTTAAGTATTTATTATAGGTGCTTACTTCTTAAAAGTAAGAAAGTAATCATGCTTTTTTCTTTTGTGTGATATTTCGACTTTTCTTAGCTAAGCTTTTTTTACGTCCTTTTTTTTCGTAAAAAAATATCTTGAACACCTGACAACACTGATGGCTGTCCCGCCCATTTGTTTATTTAGCATTGATTTATGCATTGAGTGTTTTAAATGTGGGCGTGCTATTTATGGGCCTTGACCGATGTTCGTTCGTCTGCTGGCGTTTTTGCGCTGCTTGCACTTGATTTGTGGCTTGTCCTGCAGACGAGGACTCGAACTCATACCCATAGCATGAGCTACAAGTCACTGCCAGGACTCTGGACTCGGACAAGGCGTGTCCTGGCGAAAGGTCACTTGATGTATGGGAACCTTAGCTTCTTGGCGCCCAGCTAGTTTGCATATTTGGCTGCTGCTGCTGTGTCAGCAGTGGAAATCACTTCAAATATTATGGCTCCTTGTCTTGCCAGTCAGCCAGCCATCCAGTCAGCCATCCAGATTTGTGTCCGAAAAGTTCGTGACAAATTTGATAAGACTTTGCAGCTCATTTGTACGCCATGTTTGGCTGCTTTGTTTGCTCGCTTTGTGCTGCATTGCATTTGGCCGCTGATTTTCTCATCAACATAACAAATGAGCGCCGCTCCTTCTTCATCTGCAGACCTTTCGTCGCAGTCATTTGGGTGTTTGTCTAATCCGAACCTGAATTGGTTTGAGGAAAATCAAACTTAACCCGAAGTACTTCTTCTTCAACAGAAATTATGAGCGAAATATAGCAACTAGTGTTTTTGTAGGTGTGAATGTTTTGTAAAAATAAATTCATAGCCTGGATCTTACATTTTTTTTACATAATAAATTTATAGTTGTTTTAAATAATTGTTTTAATTATAGTTATCAAGAATTATTCCGCTATAATGTGAAAAATTAAATATGTTTATACAAAAAATGTACAATAAAAAGTATTTGACAGCTAATTAAGTCAAACTGCATTCACCAGATCTCCTTTAATATTAACATTTAATTGCTGACAGCCAGGCCAAAGTTTTGGTGGGTTAACTGAACCGAAATCCGTTGGCATCAATGTGTCAGTAAACCATTTCAATTAGGCCAAAACCGGAGACTCAATGCAAATGTGGAGCAGAGCGGACCACATGCGGAGGAGCATTTGTTGTGGAACGGATGTTGGCAACATGTCCCACGAGCTGCGGACACAGTCCTCGACCCTCCTTCTATTTTTCCGTGTCCTTTTTTTTCGTCCTTTCGAAATAGTTGGAATGGCTTCTTTACTTCGCGTCCACAATTGTTTGCCATTTAATTCGCATTCGCCAGATATCACCCTAATTTAATTCATTTCGCCAGCAGATATCGGAATTTTAAGCATTCCCTAACCGGGTTGGAACTCAAATGAAAACATTATAAGATAATGCTTCTTCATGAAAAGGGGAATGTAATTTATTCATTCACGGCTTCGATTGAACGTGACTCGAAATCATTACAATCGAAAAAGATCGAAAAGTTAAGGTCGCGCTTGTAAAAACATTCAGCTCTTGAATTGCACAAATGATGAGCTCCCTAAACGAAGATAACGTTCGTTATCCATATATGATTTTATGTAATGCCCAGTCAGAAAAAAAAGTTGAACTCTTAAAAATGACCAAGGGATAAAAAATATATATTCAAAAGTTTCCAAAATCCCCTAATTTGTATAATGGAAATTATTTAAAAACTTTTTATAAATTCCTACTGGCAAACTTTGCGTGCTTATCTGAATAAAAGTTTTGAATTTTTCCTTGTCATTTCCTGCACGGAAATTGTAAGCAAAACATCAAGCAAAAAGTCAAATGTTTTGACAAAATTGCACTAAAGGCATGCCGTAACATTTTCAACAAACATGTTATGTCTTTAGCAATTAAAGTATCCAGCAACCGCACTCAAGTTATATGTAAGTATATGCCAGGACCTGCTTTTTCTCCGAACTGACATGCTTTTATTGCCGTTAAATGCTTATTTACTGGTACGACTATTGTCTGTTGGTGGACAGGAAAATTCTCCTGGTTGTTTGTCATCCCAAGCAGCTTTGCTTTTGACTGTTGAATTCAGGGAAATGCTGTGCTTAAATGGTGTGTTCAACTTGCTTCTAAGAATTTGCCTACATTATTTTGTGTAAGCTCAAGAATTGGAAACAATTAGCAGGCATTAAATGGAAAGTTTTGAACTTAGTGTAGGTGTTTTTTAACAATACGTAAGTAAGGTTTACGCTTGTTATGTCAATTAATTAGTTTACAGGTCTATTAAAATTTACATTTCTAAATATTATGGATGAAATTATTTAATTCCGACAGATGTGATGAAAATTTAATAATTAAATTTGTACTACCCATCACTTCATTAATCAGTTTCAATTATGTGTTTTTTTTAGAACAGCTGAATTATTTGACGCGTGAAATTTATAGTTATCATGCCCCAGAAAACACATCTAATTTGCTAATTAGACATTTTTCACTGCTGTTTAACCGCTTTTTATTTAAAACGCCTTTATTCAAAAGCTATGTAAACACAACTGACAAGTTGAATATTGGTCAGCAGAGATAATTGAAATAATAAATAAATAAATCAATTATTTAAATTCGAACAGAGCAATTAGTCTTTTCTAGATCGAATTACGTTCGATTACGTGGAGGAAAACATTATATGCGAGTCACTCCATGAAAAATGCAATCATTAATGACTAAAATTGTCGGATGAGCGACAATGGAAAATAAACAAGAAGGCTTCGAAACAAGCAAAATGTTTTTTTATTCAATGCCCAAGGACTTATTGTCCGGTTCCCAAGCCAATGCTAATTAATAAACTTTATTCCGGACCGGAGCGAGCAGTTGAAACTGTAGAAATAGAAAACTTGCCGATGGCACTGATGGTGTTCCCCTGCACGAGTGGCCCCAATTAATGGGATCTATGTAAATTGGCTTAATTTCAATTGACCAATTCGATTCCATGGTAGTTTCAGCTTCACTGACGTCAACAACAGCAAAATCAGCTGCCGAGAAAGCGAAGAAAGAGGAACGAGGCAGGAACTCGGTAGCACCGATGGCGTTAAATCCCAAACAAATTATCTCAGACACGTTTCAAAATGCAAACAAGAAGCCAGGAGACACACATCCACCAGCAGGGCGATTAAACTCTGATTTTGATTCTGGGAAAGTTCCAAGTAAATCCTGTAGCTCTTAGTGCCGCTTTAAGGACAATTACCCCGGGTATTCGTATTCGGCGAGGAACCCAATGGCAATCGCAAACAAAATACAAAGACACCAAACAAAAAAATTGGTGCTTTCTTGAAGGCTTTAAATAAAATATACTTATTAAAAAAATGTATTGTCGAAAGATGATAAAGTACCACAACAGCTTTTAAGTGAAAATTCGAATTTTAATTTAATTTAATTTTATGACTAAAATTCTGTGAAAATTAGAGATTATTTTCTAAATTTTTCTAAACTAACAAAAATTGTATTACTAATAGATAGAGCTTAGATTTTTTCCCCTTTCAATATTTTTCTTTTCCCTGATTTTAGCTACTATTCCCAGAACTTTTTTCCACTGCAATTCTCTAAGGAAGGGCGTCGAATCAAGAACAGATCCGCAGTTTGGGTTTCGGATGGGTTCATGTTCATGCTCAACGCTCCATGGTCAAGGCTACACGGTTTATTGTTTTGGCTACTGCAATTGAGCGAAATATTTCGAGTTATTTTTGGCTCTCGACTTGTGGCGCAGCTAATCTTGAGTTGTCTGCTTTTGGGGGATTGCGAGTTTTGTTTTGTTTGTCTCGGGGAAAAAATGGGGGAAAGATGGAAAGGAAAGGGAAAGTGTTGAGAAGCTGGGGCTTCAAGTACATCGAGTACATGGAGGCCATAAAGCAAACACTTTTAGTTTGTTGAACTGTGCGCAGAGGTCGGGGCCTCTAATTCGTTGTCAAAAACTGCCAGTGCCAGCTGTTGACTGGCGCTTGAAATTTAAACTGCCCCCGCCTTTTGGCCCTCTTGTTATTATTTTAATTTGCTGCATTGTTCTGTGGCGAGGGACAGATGCTGAGAATATTACAGCAGTATAGGCACTTTTGCACATCGAGGATAACCAGTTTTCCACCGCACTTGTGGGCCCACGATTCGTATTTAATTAAAATTTTCAGCCATGACATGGCGCACAGCATTTAAAGTGTAAATCGGTTATGCACCACGACAATCCGACTGAGCCGCAGCACACAGCACACACAGAAAATAATATTTATTTGTCATCCATCCGAGGAGAGCCAGAGTTGACCCCATGGCAGTGCCGACAAAAGAATCAATTGGGTTCATCGAAACAGTACGCCCGGATTGTGTGGGGCCAGGACAGAGCACAATAAATAAACACATAAGTCGCCCCATGAAGAGTGTCCTTTGGAGCGTGTTTACACAACTTTAATTGTAGCCCATAACAAGTATACTCGAGCTGTTTTCCACAATAGTTGTTCGGCCGCCCGACCGCATTTTTGTGAAAATTTTTAATTGAACAGGAACTAAAGCGCTTTGCATATTCTAATTCGTTGGCATGTGTAACTTTAGATACTGGCTCTTCAGCATTAGAAAAAAGGGGATTTTTTTGTTAGCACTGTGGACAAAAAGTTCTTATTATTATGCACTTTTACTGTTTATTTTAAAAAATATTTAAACCTTTTATTTTTGGTTTCCTGTTCTTGTACAACTGGGCGAATACTTAATATTTGATACCAATTTACGGTAATGGCCTCATAATAAATAAATAATTTAATAATAACATAACTAAATAATGTTTTTAAGCTGTAGTTTCTATTTATTTACTTTTTTAGAAACTTTTTTAATAAATATGCCGAAATTCAGGCTATTATCATATGGCCATAACGATAAAGATATTCCTTGCTCAAATTCTGGACTTTTAAACTATATTTTCTCAGTGCCGCCCGCTGGTGATCCTGGGGTGAACCCGGTGATGGGTTCAAAGCGACTCGGCTCTGCTTTTGTCCGGCTCTTTGCTGGCTCGTTAGGTGCAGACAAGGACCCGCAGAGAATGAGAATGACCGGAAAGCATGCATGTGTGGGCGCTTTGGCTTTAAAATCTGGACATGGACATGGCCACTCAGGGTCCCAGAATCCAGAGGACCGAGTTATTTGTTGTCGCATTCCCTCTAATGGGGGAGAACGGAAAAAAATGAATTGGCCGCTTTGAAAAGTGAAAGTTTGTCGCTCATAAACTGGAAGAGTAATCTGAAATGTCTGCGCGTAATGACCGGGACAATATGCGAGCTGCTCCGCCGGACTTATTAAAGTTCGAGGATGGAATGGGGTAATAAGAATGCCTTGCCTAAAAATCCGAAGAACTCTTCATCTTCATTTTCAGTTCATTTTCATCTTCGTCAGGGAGCTTTGTGCGAGTTGTTGGCCGTTAAACTGGTTGTCTAGACCGTAAGTAAATTTATGGCTCTGATTAATATCTTTATTGTGTCAGATTATGATTGACTAGGCGGCAGGCCGCACGATTTATTGATGGAGCGCCCGACCCGCCCATCCAGCATCCAGTATCCCGCCACTAAGAGCTCCTCACAAAAGAATCTCGATCTCCGGCTATGATGATGAATGAGGAGGGCGGTTCGTAGTGGCGAAACCCCGAAGGCAAGCCCTTTGTTACGGTTTCCTGCCAACAGGCGGTATGGAATTACATGGGCTCTGGCTAAGCGGTATTCAATGGGTAAATATCCATTTGATATATGAGCCGAAACCACATGACAACTTCAATCTTAGACCCATAGTGCCTCTCATACATCTCATTAGGCAGGTGAAGGGGCGTTGACAACTTGGCTTTGAATTTTTCAGTGCCCGACACTTCTTGGCTTTCCCTTGAATTTATTTGCCTGCTTTCAAAGAGCCATTAATAATTCTGTTTGGCCATAATATCCGACAGAGCTCTTAAATTTTTGTCCCAGTTTTAAGTTGATTTATTTTGTGGTACTAATCCGCACCACTCCCCATTCACTCCACGTGCCAATTTACCACAGGATAAGCCCTTGCTCGCCACTCCCTGCACATTCGTTTCAATCCGAACTTCCTAGCCTACAAAGCCTCCTTTACTAATGGACCTCCGGCGACACTTGGCCAGGTGCAAACTGAAAGGCTTTGTTGGCAGGTGCAAGTGCAGCCAGCTGCTGAATTTACACTGAGCAAAAAAGCTTACTTATTGAAGAAAAATCTATTTAAAGCTTTATTATTATTATTTCCTTTATTTAAAAATGATATTAGTACACATCGGAATATATACAAAACAATATAATTAAAATACGAATCTAAGGGAATTTATATAAGATATACTTATTTTTCAAATAATCAAAATTAGTTTAGGGTTAAAGTCTAATTTTTAAATTTAGAGAAACATTTATCGTTAATGAAAGTTCGCTAGGAATCGAGTGTTTAGAATAATTTTACAATATAATCCGATGTCTTCTTAAAATTTTCTGAGATGCAGAGATAGAAATTATATAACTACTGAGGCCCTGGTAATAATCTTAGACATGAATATTTAAATCTTATACATTAAATATTAAACAATTGCTTTTTCAGTGCGAAAGCAACAGAATGCCTGGCAATCTGTAAAAAAGAATGTCGCAAAGAGCACGAACAGATTGCCTGGAAACGCTGAATGAGGAAAAGCTGAGATGCTGCCTGTTTTTCCGATTTTCCCTTTGACCCCTGATACCTGACACCGCCGCCTGTGTAGATTGTGTAGAATGCAGATGAAGGTGAGTGTTACTGGCATGCATTGTGTACTGGTATAGGAGAAAAAAAGCACACAGATAAAAGGATTTTGCTGTAATGTTGGCAACATTCTTTATTTATTCACATTATTTTGCTGGTGGCTCAACACTTAACACTTAATTTATGAGAGCGATGCGGTTGCCATCGCAAAAAAAAGATACAGGGCGTGGCATTTTTCGTCACGACACTTTGCTGCCTCATTATCCTGGGCTTTATGCCTGGCATAAATCGTCTGGACCTCGGCCATTCGTTCTATTCGCCTTTTTATGGCCAACTTGGCCCGAATTTGCATGCAAATCGCTGGACTTTTTTCTGGCTTATTTACAGATCGAAAAGTTTATTGCGCTAACTAAACACACGATGCGATGCCTAACTAAGCATAACTCTAGCTATCAGCCAGTCGGAATCACTGGGATTTCGGGGAGCCATAGGTCAAGCCGCCCTCGCTGCTGGGATGTGGATCCTCTGTTTTTTGCCTCCGCTTTCGCCAGGGAAATTTCCTCGAACTTCGACCTGCAACCGAAGCCGTTTGACAAGTCTCCGGATCCGGCAGGCTATGGCTTCCACAAAAGGGCGGAGTGGCGGATCCACTGGTCACCTCATCCCGTCGACTTATCACCCTCGTCAGCTTGAGACGAGTGGCAGGTTGACCCACTTCCGATGGGTGGTCGCCACTCTGAGGTGGTGTCACCAGCAGAGCACCACTTTTGGTGGCCAGCAGTGCCCTTTTAGCCCGGCCGGAAGCATAGTGTCTATCCACCACTTCCGCCTCCAGCAGGGAGTTGGCATCGCCCAGAGATGAGAGTTGCGATACCTGAGCCTGCAGCATTCGATGGGGAACTGCAGTTCCCGGCACCACGGGGCCATAGAACTCCTGCTTGCGCATTCGCCGTCCGCCGCCAGCACCACCACCGATGGAAATTCCATTCCCATTTCCGGCTGCCAAGCTATTGCTATTTATCGTCGTGGTTGTGGTGGTGGTGCGAATGCTGTCCTGCAGCGATAACTGGTGGCTCGCATCGCGGCAGCGGAACTGCACCACTCGGTAGGATCCATAGGGCTCCAGGGCGTTGTTGTTAACACTGCAACTGGCCGGCTGCAGGCGCATCGAGCCATTCTGCCGCAGCAACGCACTGTAGTTGTGCTGGTGGTGCTGACTCTGCTGGTGGTGGTGGTTCCTGGCCAAACCGAACTGCCTGGTAAGAGTAATCTATAGAAGGAGAACAAGTAATAAATTCAGTTTATTATTCATTCTAGTTTATGAAGTAATATATAAAAAGTGTAATATATGATTATTTTTAATAAGATAACCCGTTAACCAGTACCAGTTTTTTTTAGTATAACCTAAAATTTTATTAAACGTCGATTAACCAACTTAATGTCAATAATACGTTGAGGAATTTAATATTTTGAGGAACAAATGACATGAATGCTTAACAGAATGGTAATTAACAATTTTATATAACAAGAACATATAGCAAATAATTTACTTTAAAAAAAATAATAATATAATATTTGCTTTAAACATTTATTGTAATCGTCCTTTCTATGATTTAAATACTTTGTAACTGCTACAAATGAATGTTAATAGATTGCGCAAAAATTACAATACATTTTTTACAAACACTTTTGCACCTTAATTTTAAAAAAGAAAATATGTGAAATATTTATTTATAATAATATTTTGTGTAATTTTGTTTTCTGTCAATTTAAAAAATACATGTAGGTAGTGGAAACTTAAAAAGTCTAGTTAAGATTTATAGTTTCAAGAATTTAGTTTATAGACCCTATTATTTATACATTAATATTTAAAACAGGGTTCAGCCAAGTTAGGGATTCAGTTTTGGACTCACCTTAAAGGCCTCGCGGAACTTGTGACTCATGATGTTGTACAGCAGCGGGTTGATGCAGGTGGAGAGGAAGTAGAGCACACCGGACGTGTAGTCAAGTATCCGGAAGTAATCGTTGAAGGCATCCCGGCTGATGCCGATATTAATCAGATTCAGTCCGTAAACGGCCATCAGGCGCTGCGCATGGAAGGGGGCCCAGCAGAGGAAGAAGGCGACGGCTACAGCTACTGCAAATACGGATAAAGAACGTATTAAATACCCAGGAAAAAGTGGGTTTTGTAACCAGAAGCCTGTATCTTTTATATCCCCCGTAAACGAATAGTTCGGGCAATCATCCCAAGCACTCGTTAGTTAGAAATCCAGGCACTTAAATGCAAAAATTGGTTTTACCCATTGCCAAAACGGTAAATAATTTTGTAACCTAAATAAACATTGAGAATGAGAAAACTGTCTTTTGTTTTTTTACCGCTCCTGCAATCCAAATTAATTTATTATTAAGGTTTTAGGGCTTAATCCGAATTGGCCCATCAATTTCCATTTACTTAACGAAGGGCAATGGTAAACTACAGAATCAATGGGCTGTGGATTTCCAGTTAAAAGCAAAAGTAAATTGGGGTTGGTTTTACAGGGGAATTTCTAATGGAAAAATGCTCTTTGGATTTTAAAAATTTGCCTTGACTTGTACTTAAAATACTCACTGAAATAAGACTTCTTTAAACAAAATTTTGTTGTCTTTAAATTAAACTCATAATTCTCTAAAATATAACACGGTTTAAAATTATAATTTCCCTAATCTAAGTTAATAGAAATGGGTAAGAAAAAGTTAAAAACATTTTTAAACATGGTGTTTGATATACCAACTTTCAAGCAAAAAATTCTTGACTTATTCCAGGTTTTATTTGTATACCCCGCACTCTTCAGCGCATTTAAGTGCCCCGACTTGATTACTTTTGAGGTGCCACCTGGCTTCACCTTTGCTTCATTCGCTAGATGGCCATTTAAGAGCTTTCCACACACACCGATGTTTGCGAAAAATTAACGACACCGCAGAAAAAAGCAAAAACAGAAGCAGGGGCACATTCAACCCACGTGACGCAAGAGCAAATGAAAGGGGCGGAATGGAATCGCCTGTTTGATGTCGCCAACGCAAATATGGTGACAGTAATTTTCAATTTAAGACTTTCGGCGAAAAAGTTTTGACAGGCGATGTTTCTACGGGGTGGGGGCTTGTTGCTGTCTTTAATCAATCAAGCCGCCAACTCAACTCACCTACCCAACATTCTGATGACTCGTCCCTGGGCGTTGAGGCCCCGATTCGCATCGTAGGTCCTTCGCGGCAGCGACTGCAGCAGGCGACTCCTCTTCAGTTTCACGCCGATCAGCACGTAGAGCACACAAATCGCCGTCATGGGTCCGCCGAAGAAGATAAATCCCGAGACGGCGAACACATGGGCATAAAAGTCGTTCTCCATCTGCGTGAATAAAATGAGGGGTATACGAGACTCTATGGATTTTACATTTCATTCCGTCCACCCACCGTGCAGGAGTATCCTTCGTTCTGGTAGACCACCGAGAATTGCATAGCCTGGGGAAGGGCCAGGAGAAAGGCCGCCAGCCAAATGGCAAATATAAATTTAATGGCCCGCGACAATTTTGACATGGTGTGCTGCCTACAAATGACGGAAAGATTAGGCTGCATTATATGTTAAGTATTAAGGGGGGAAGTCGATGTAAATGCTTCCGTTAAGCGTGGGCAGATATGAGATGGAAAATATTATGGCCCAGACTCTGACCATCTATATACAGTTTAAACGCTTTTCTAGAATTTATTATTTACTCTAAATGTGGGTGTAAACAGGAAGGAAGTCGAAGACTTCTCGAGAATATATTTATAGCCTAACTTTTGCTTTCTTTTGATATTCGAGCGCAGCGCTCTGAAGTGTTTAACTTATTTTGAGACAAATGTTCAAAAGCTGAAATGCATAAATTGTGATAATATCAGTTTAAAAGAAAGAAAACTTTTAAAAGATTTCACTCAACCTAGTTTTTTTGACAATAGAAAATATATTTATAGAAACAAAAAAAAAAACAGTTACACTTTAAGGCAAATTACATAAGATTCAGACTAAAATCCCTTTCTGTTGCTAAGCTCGACCTTTTGGTTTCATCAAAGAACCTACTATAAAACGACAACACAGAAATATCATATTATTTCAACCATTTCATTTAAACACTTCTTCAGGGAAAGAAGAACTTTTTGCCCTAACTTTATAATCAGGTTAGGAATGCCATCTTTTAGTCCGTCCCACCCTTTCATGTCTGGTTATTCCTAATGACCCACTCCATGGCATTGTATTCGTTTATTTCGCAAATTTGTGGAAAATGTAAAAGTAAGTTGAAAACTCAAATTGTGTTTATAAAAGCAATAGACGGTTTTTTCAAGAATGGAAATTTAATACGGGTTTGGCAAACATTATACGAAAATCATGAATGGAATGCAGACATTTTCGTTTAGGGAAGTATTTGTATTTTTTGGCTACAGAAAATCCCTACGACCTTTTGTAAAGTTGTAGTAATAATGGTCAGCTTAAAGAAAAGTTACCAATCAAAAATAAAAGGAATTCAAAACTAAATACTTTTTCTATCAGTGTCATACTTTCATTACTAACTATTTCCATAGTTTTTAATGAACTTAGTTCCTCCATTTGCGGAGCTGACTATTAATTAGTGTCAATAAACAAAAGGTAATGCGTTCGCTGGATATCTAAAAATGATGTGAATTTGGTTGTCAAGCCTGACTTATTTTATCATACCACAACCTCTGACTGTTTAATTATGAATAATTATTGTGCCTCTAATTTGTGTTGTATTTGTGAGGTATCATTTTATTGCGTTTGTGACTGACGCTTATCAAGTTTCATTTATCTATTTGTGGTCTGTCCTATTTATGCGATATATGTACACTTTGTTAATGAACACGAGCTAATAATAACACTGAAAGAATTTATAAAATATATTTATGCAGTAAATTTGAAAAACTCACCGAAACGGATGACAGATGGCAATGTATCGCTCTACAGTGAAGGCTGTGATGGTGAGAACTGTTGCATTGGCGGCCATTTCGGAGAGCACACTGCCCATGATGCACATGGCGTCCGTGAAAGGATACATGTCGGGGTACCAAAGGTTGTACAGCTCCTGGGGAATGCCTGCAGGATATGTGGACACACACATTACGCATACGCCCGGTTGGCCTCTGGATAGAAAAGCTCACCTGACACCAATAGTATTAAATCGGAAACGGCCAAATTGAACAAATAGAAATTGGTGGCCGTGTGCATAAAGTTATTGCGCGAAATCACAATGCAGGTGATTAGATTGCCCAACACGCCGGCCACAAAAATGAGGGCATAGCAGACGGTGAAGGCGGTTCGCAGGGTCAGGGACTCGTCGACCGGCGAATCCCCGGCCATTGTGCTCGCATTTGTGCCGTTCGTGGAGCCCAGGAGATTTGAGAGATTCTCGGTCGTTATGTTCAGCAGATGTGCGACATGTGTTAGGAATTTGTCATTCTTCAGCAGCAACAGCTCGGGGCTCTCGCCGGGACTCGGCATTGTGGATTCGCTGGCGATGGAGGCGATGCCGATGGAGAAACTCTGATTGGGACTGGGCGACACATGAGCCATGAATGATTGATTGAGGCCATCATCGTTGCTGTCGTTGGCAATGGTGATGGCGACGCCTTGCAACATGCTAGCTGTCGTCGATTAATTGCGGACTCGATCCACTCCACCGCTTTACCACTCCCTTCGAATAGAAAAACGCCACAGCCACAACCAAATCGGACGCCCACTCGTATCAATGCGTTATTAATACTGTCTGGCGTATCCTTTGCGGCATCCTTTGTGGCACATGGCCGATAAGCAGTCGACGACAGGCCCAAAAATTGCGCACTCGCCTGTGAAGCAAACAACATTAAAAGTCATTAGACTCAAGGATGAATTTAAATTGAATCCCCAGCCAGGCTGACGTAACGATTTTTTTCCAGAACGGCATCAGGTGGCCAAATGACTCGATAAGGAAACTGCGTATTAATCCCGAAATAAAACCACTTGTCTGTCGCCACTTGACAGTTGCCTCTTGGCTCTATTAATGGTAAACATCTGGCCCTGTGCTTGTGCAGAGAAAAAATGACAACTAAAGAGGTCCTAAGTGGTCCTACATTTATTCAAAATGTCTACCGTGTTTTGTATATCATCACAAAGTATTATTAATAAAGTGTTTCAAATATATTAAATAGTATTAATAAAGTTAAGTTTTTAGTCAAGTTTTTGCAACATGACATATTCTTTTAATTGTTTTATATTCTATCTATCAGAATATTATTTAGAATGTTTTAGTTTACGTAAAATATGTTATGCTTCCAAAAATATAAAAAGAAGAACCGTTGCTTTTATTTAGGTTTAAATGATAAATTCCTAAAATTATTATAATATTTTAAATAAATTCATAAATGTTACAAAATAAAAATTTTATCTAAATTCACATTTATTTCCAATGAAACTAGCGAAGATAAATTCAAATTAAATTAACAGAAATTGGAACCTATTGTGATATATTTTTCTCTGTATACCACATGTCACTTGGCACTTGCCTCTATTAATAGTAAACATCTTAAGCTCCAGCAATACAGATTGCTGGCAATCAATACAAATATAGTTGTGAATGAAAAAGTTTTTCTATTTGCTCGGTCTTAGTCGTGATGAGTGAAACGAAACCTGATTGCATGTGTGGGAAAGTTTTACGGGCCCTCAAAAAAAAAGGGAAACTTTGCTACCCCCGACTGTCATTCGGGCGCCATTAGGGATCCCAGCACATGCCGGATTTTAAAGATGCCAGCAAAAATAACATGCGGGGTAATATTTCACTCATTATGCCGCCAACACGTTCTGAATGGGTGTTTCCCCCGGCTGCCAAAAATCAAATTCCGGGGTTAGAAGTCAAGGGCCAAAGGAAAGTATGGGAACGAACACCGAGTCACTGTTAATGCCAAGTTGGATTATTGGCTTGAGGCCATACTCTTGGTTGATGCGTCTAATTAATTATGTTTCCGTTTCGTTAAGCGTTGTGTTCCATTTCTCCTGCTTGAGGCGTTTAAAAAGCCCCAGAAAGTATGCTACGCACTTACAGGGTCCACGAATCTCGAGGGGTCAGAGTCAAGATGACATCTTATTGACGCAAACTAATTGGAAAAATAATTGAATTGCCAGCTCAGGTGTGAAAGTTGATTTAGATATGATTGGGCAGAAAAACCAGAAGCTGGGAATGCGAGTTCTGTTTCTGTTACTGATTCTGATTCTCTGTACAAATGTGCGTCGTCGATCGCAATTATACAATCCAATCAGCCGAGCCAATGCTGCGTGGACCATATTAGGGTTGGAAATTCCATTTCAGTTGGAGAACAAGTTTAAACCGCAATCTAGTTGCAGGTGCCTTAACGTTTTCTAATTAAACTTTGCGGTTTCCAAAGGTAAGCAATTTAGGAGAACGGAAAATTGAATTTTTTAAATTCTGAGAAAACGAGTCCTGAGTAAATTGCCATCGACATGTTGATTCCGACCAAGGCTAGATTAAATAACAAAAGCGTATTTACTTTTGCTGCGCGTATTGCTGCCTTCTTTGTAGTCAAGTCGTATCCTTATTCGTTTTTCTGTCTCACAAGGTGTGTGTCTCCTCTTTTTTTGTTGTATTAAGTTGGGTCCTTTGAGGACTTCCGCGTGGGATTTTTTAACCCTTTTTGTATTCGATAAAACGGAATCACTGAACGGAAAATTAGTTTTGCACTTTGTTAGGCAATCGTTGAGAAATATTTAATTAGCTGCAAATCACTTGGGATTTTTGGGCGATTCTTTTTTTATTTTTATGGATTTTTAATTAAAATAAAAGCACTTTTTATTTTAAATAATTAATTTGCTTTTTTTTGTTTGCTAGCAATTTTTCAATATATTTTTAAATTAACCACTAATTTAATGGATATATTTTTGTTACGGATATTTATTTTTCAGAGCTCGCACGCGTCCGAAGTGAAGGAAAGTCGGTGACAGACTGAGTTGCCTTGCGGCCATCGAGGCAGTTGTGAATGGCTGATGTTAGCCAAATGTTAACTAACAGCAGTTCTTGGCCTTTCGGCTCTCCGTTCTTGTCTGGCGCTCTCGCAAACATTTGGTCTTAATTTCATTCATAAATTCATGCACTTCACCTTGACTGGGGGTCTGTCTCCCTCTCCTCCTGCTTCCCCGTCGCCGTAAGTTATGTCTTACTTGGCGGATGAGTAATGTCGCAGGCAGCTGGTTTTATAGAGCGTGGCCATAGGCGGCAGTCGATCCAATTGAACGGCCTGAAGTTGTGCGCGGGGCTAATTGAAATTGCAAATGGCCCCAAAAGCACTAGTACTTACTTTTAATATTTATTGTCGAAGGCCCGCCCGCCGCCTCAATTGTTTTCACTCTGACCTCAGAGAAGCCACCAGGGCAAGTAAACGAGAAATCAAAGCCGTTTGTACATCATAAAGTATGCGAGTAAATGTGTTTGTTTTGCAGGACATGAGGCCTGATTTTCCCCTTCCCTTCCTCTCCCTCCATGAGGCCAAACCGCATATTAATGTCGGCCCTCGTCCGCAGATTTGTGGATTTGTTTTCATTATCCTCCGTTCGGGTTTTAGCTCGCCTCGGGCCTCGCATTCAATTGAAGCTTCTCTTGTTGTTCTGGTCTTAAAGATGTTTATTTCGAGTGGGTGGAGTAGCCAAGGATGCCTCGCTGAAGAGTTTTCAGTCCAATTTGGCATGGTTGTCTGGTCGCGGTAAATATGCACAGTTGCTGGAGCGTGACCACAATCTGGGTTTCGGGGCTTTCTTAAGAGCCTTTGGATATTAAGGAAATGCCTGCGGGCGGGACAAACGATTTTATGTCGTAATTCTTCTTACACGAGTAGCCACAGTGTGAATTAAGCCGCACGAATTACGTTCTTCTTTATCTCTTCAATCGAAAAAAATTCTCGAATTTTTTTAACTTAATATTAAACAAAATATGCAAATTTGTAAAATATTATTTTGGTAGTTAAACATATTCTATAAAGCAATTAAATTTCTTTGTCACTTGAATAAAGCTTATATAATTATATAATTAAAATATATATTTCATCTGCGAAATGAAACCTAATTGTGTTTCTCCCAGTACATTAATCACAGCCCCAAACAGAGTTCACCTTTCCACTCACTTTGATCCGTCGTAAATGCGATTAAACGCGCGTTAAATTAATGTTGCCTCAAATAATCACTGTCCGAAATCTGTAAGTCGATTCCCTGGATTATTCATGAGTTCCGGACTAAATAATGAAAGCGTGAGGACAATCAATATTAGTGCTTCGCCCACTGACCTTTACACGTTGCGTATACGCAATGTTGTCCATGCTGGTTAGTGTGTTTCTGTGCCTCTGTGATTCCGAATGATTCAATTGGCCGGTGGATGATGCTGATTAGCATAATGCCTTTTGACACACATGTGGACCACCACCGTAGGGGGCAGAGACAAAAGATTGACCAGATCCTAATCGAAAAGGGTCGACCGCAGCTTCGAGGGCACAGCAGTTGGTCCAAGTTCTATGAAACTGGCCTTGATTTACGACTGGAATGGAAACGACAATGATAATGTTCTGGCCGCAACCAGAGCCACTGATTAGCTCGTTCTGACTTGATGAACGATGCCGAAATGAGGACACTGCAAATGCGGCTTAGAGCACTTTTGAATGCGTCATGTTATTTTAGATGTGGCTAATTAAGTGCAATTAAACTAAATGCTGGTGTCCTTGGCCTTTTGCCTTCCCAAGGATCCCGAGCATTGAACTGTCGCCCCGGAGGAAAGTATCCCTTTACGTACTACGAACTATGTACATTTGATAGTCAGAGGACTACGCTTTCAGCTCAACTACTCGCATTACTCATACAACCCGTTGGCCCGAGTTTATGGGAAGTGCGCTACTTTCATGTTGGAAATTGGGCATCTTGGCCGGCAATGGCATGCCGATGAGGGCAATTGCCGGGCTTTTAACCAAATGAACCACGGCCGACACGCACACCTCCGCTTTTTTTTGGTGCGGAATTCAATTATTTGAAAGGCTCTGCAGTGCATGTGGAAGTTTGGCTCCATTCGGCCAATCGAAGGTCACAATTAGCCACGAGCTCTGAAATTTTGTCAACGACTTGTTGAGCGCGTGCGGAGGTTCAATAAATTGGTTTAGCCAAGGCCAAGCAGCGAGATTTTGATACCCTGAAAGATTTGAAAACCTTAATTTACTTATTTCTGCAAGATGAAAATTAATATGTCTTATTAAATAAAAGTTAATACACAATTTGTACTTCTTAAAAAAATTCATAGAAATTCGATTTTATAACTTTAAAATATGAAACAAATCCTAACAAAATATATTTTTATTCATGATAGGCAATTTGTATTTTAATATAAAAAGATAAAATCAACACAAGGGAAAAATATGACCAATTCAAGAGGCTCCAAGATACAGAAAGAGTTAATTTAAAATATTTTAAATGTCTGGGCCCACATCCACTATCTCGTTCGGCCAGACAGTTTTCATATTTCATTTGTATAAACCCCAACTCGAATGTATGTAATATTGCCTGTACTTAGGTGAAAGTTAGGGAAAGCTTGTCGCTCACTGGCAACGGGTTGGTCGAACTGCAAATTACTTTTGGCCTAGCCTGCCCTCTCTGCGTGCAATAAAACTAAATGAATTGGAAACTTGCACAAAAATTCAACTAAACTGCTGACGAGGATGCCGCCGTCGCCTGATGACAGAGTCCTGGCCAAAATGGAAAGGCAACGGCAATGGCAAAGGCTAAACTTCAAAATGCCAAACAAGAGCTCGACTCAAAAGACGCCCCGAATCTGATGTCATGGCCAGTGTTCATAAAGAGCAAAGCAAACGAAAATCTACCCCACTTTCCCATTTCCCTTGGCCATTTTTTCCCGGCTTTCGTCAACAATTGGCAGCCAAAGTTTTGACTGGGGATTCCTTTGCAGCACGTGCTCCGTATTTGCCCTGCCTTTGAATTCATGAGACTCTCGTTCAAGAGATTAGGAGGGAAATGGAGAAGGGCCCCTGACAAAGAAAGGCCAACCCAGACCCTCTATTTGATCCCTACCTCCCCTTCCTCCAACATTTCGCTGTTTGTTTAGGACTTTGTTTTGATTAAGTGCCAAAAAATTGTTTCGTATTATTTACATAAAAATTGAGAAATTGAATGCATGCAATGGACTTGATTTGTTTGCCCCGCAATTCGATTTTCTATGCTCCACGTACATATCGCCATCGAATAGATACTGCTACATTTGTTTGCTCTTAATATCGCACTAGCCGCTGGGATAGGAAAATACACATTTTATGAGCCGCAAAGCTCTGATAGATTTGCCCGCACATGGCCATAAAAGTTGGGCCCCGGGGGACTAATAAAATCTCCCTTTGACTGATCATAAAACCACGGCTTCATGTTCGGGGCTCAACGGCGTACAAAGTGGTTTCACAAATTAATTTTAAGCAATTTAGTTGTCCTCGATGTTGTGTTCCTGGAAAGAAAATATATCAGAGGAAAAGTGCAATAAACTGTGTAGGTTACAAGCTATATTGATGCGTTCCAGGAAAACAATATAACCAAATATTTTTTCTTTTATATATATTTATATTTACTTAAATATTAAAATAAATAAACAAGTATATATTTCAACGTCTTTAACGAATATTTTGATTACTGTTATTAGTGATTACACGGTGTTAACTAAATTTTTGAAGTTTCAACTTTATTGTTTCACTTTGTATATTAGTAATTAATTTATTTAATGTGCAGTTTTCAATGCCAACATTGACTAGACTTAAATTAATTGTAAATAATAAAAAAGGAAGATTTTCCTCAATGGGAAAAAATAGTATATTAATTTCCACCCATATTAGACTTCGGAAACTGGGGTAATTTTTATAAATTTCTTTTTTAGTTCTTTGAGTGACCACTTCACCTTTGTCGAGCTGCCTTGACTTAAATTGATTGTGGTTGCGGGCTTAGTGGAGGTTTAAGTGGGCGGCAAGGTCGCCATTTGCATTGTCCTTTGGCTCTGTTAACATAATAATCAAACAATTTGCCGCCCTGGCCAAATTAATACGCCACTAAATAAGATAAACTGCATGGTGCTCCAGTATTATTTGCATTTTTATTACCCTTTTGCCGGGGGACCCTAGACCCTTCATATAAGACCGAAAACTCCCCTAAGCGCCGGCGCAGAGAGTACACAAGTGACGAAAAGCAACCGGTAGTTGTTCGCTGCCGACGTCGACTGCGACGCCAGCACCTCTGTTGCGTTGCTGTTAACGGCAATGGCCCGAACGGGCTTTGTTGCCAAGATTTTTTGGCCAAAAAACACAGTCAGTCGGATGCTGCGGCCCGTTGCTGTAGCCGCCGTCGTCGCTCTTGGTTTTTTGAATTGTTGATGGTTTTTCGAAGACGCACAAAACGAGAAAACGGGAAAACCATCAATTTACGCGTGCCCCCAGTCATAATTTTTGGGTTCCGAGAACCATTCTGCGTACCAGAATTAATCAGTGCCAAACGCAAATAGTTAAAGCCATTAACTGTGAGTGTGAGTGTGCGTGTTAAATTAACCCCGAACGTCTCGTGGTCATTAATCAACATTTAGCACATGGTAAAAACTGATTAGCTGTATTGCAATAAAATGTCAGTGAAATAAAACCAAAAAAAACACCAGAGAAAGTGAGTGAAAGAAGAGAGAGGGGAGGAAAGTGGGAGGTACAAAGTGCAATGCTCGCAAATGCGAGAATACAAAGTGACAAAATCAAAACAGTTCAAAGCCATAAAAAATAAATGCATTCCGAAAAATGTGGCAGGCATCGTTTGATAAATTTAAATTAAACGTGTTTTAAATGCACAAACGATAGCCAGCAGCCGAGGGCAGCGAAAAATATAATTAATTGCCATTAGGCGGAATGAAAAGCCCCGAAACAGGAGCGATGAAACAGTTGTAAACAAGTTGAAAATAAATAAGGCATTATCGGGGCCCCAAGATCTCCAGATTGCCAGTGAAATCCATTGACCCGAAACACTAATGGTGCGGAATCTATAATAATGTATGCAAAGCAACTTCGCAAAAAAGATGGAAAATAATAATAAACCAAATACGAGACTCACACTTTATGGGCATGGGCGGGTGCATAATTTTCGGTGGGATGCTACACGGCCGATCATCATTGGACACTCAGATATCAGACCTCAGACATCGGACATCGGACACCGAAACGAAAACAGAAAAATGAAAAAATGAAAACCAGTTTGATTGAATATACAATATAATAAAACCAAATTCGACAGCATTCTTTGGCCGTGCATATATTGTAGAAACTTTTTTATGATAATGATAATGAAAACGGCCAAAAACGGTCAACAGCGGTCAGCACAGCAACAATAACGAAATACAGCCGCCACAATGAGAATAACAGCAGCCGAGAACACTCATCATCTGAATGGAATAAAACTATGTTAATGTTATTAAGTCACCCGGTGTCCAATGGGAACTTTATCTTCCTCTTTATCATCCCCACCACCTGACCTTGAGTTTCGGGCGCGTTTAATTTGTTTGCCACCAGGTGTTTTGAGAGGTCTGGGTCTGAGCTAGCGTCCTCTGAGCCTTGTAGCAACATCCTTAAATTCATCCCGTGTACACAAATATTTTGACTAAATGCCACTTAGCAATTCAAATTAATTTTCAGCCTCCACTTGCCCTGAGCCTGGTCTCTCGCCTAGGACACCTGACTGCCGCCTGCCAGCTTCCCAGGATGCCAGGTAAACAGGACACAAACACACTTTAAGACACGTCCTTTGTGGGGTGGACCTAAACCAGCTAAAACGTTTATTAAAATTCACAAAACAAATGGGGCAAATAATTTATGTAAATGTTGTGAACTAGGGTAAACTCGAAGCAATTTAGCTAACGAATTCAGAATAACTTAATATGACATGTTATTAAATGTTCATGAACGACAGTTTTGTTTATTATTTATATATATAAATTGATTTTTATTTACTTATTTAAACGGGCATTTTGATATTGACAAATCAAAGCAATTTTGTTGACTTTTAGTGAATAAACATCATATATTTTATAACCATAACTGGGACCAAGAACTGGAATATAACAATTTTACTGCACCGTAATGAAAACAATTTTATTCAAAAGTAGAAAAAGTTCTTATTTAAATAAAAATTTTTAAAGCACATTATAAAACTGGAAACACCTATTTTTGTGTGCAAATTTCTTCGCTTTTTTTTAAATAGGTAAAATATGTATGTGTAGGGTCTTAAGGAAGATTTGTTTTCTCTTGTTTTTCTTATGTAATATAAAAGACTCTCCTTAATAGAATGTCTCCGTAAAGCATAGGTCCACCCCACTGCACACATCCGCACACAAAATTTAATCCCACACTCATGACAACAGATTGTAAGTGGAGTGGCACTGGCCTAAGTCAAAATTGATGAGCCCCCGTAAGGGGCATTATGAGAACATTATTTGAGAGCAAGAGCTTCGATTGAGAATACATAAGCGGGGATCTGGAATTCCCGGAGAAATTCGAAATTAATAGTGCGCACACACTGGAGGACACAAAAGAACACAATCTCCCGAACTGACACACACACACACCACCCATGGCAGTCAAAATGCTGCCCAGTAACAGTTCCGGTCTCCTGGCAACCGATCTGCAACTGTTTCACAATGAGAAATTCCTTTTGAATCTGACCCAAGTGCTGAACATCTCGGCGGACAACTTGACCAGCCTGCTGCAGGGTCTGGAGCCGGAGGAGCTGCTGCCCACGGTGACCCCGATGACCCCGCTCTCCCTGCTGGCCACCCTCAGTGTGGGCTACGCCCTCATCTTCATCGCCGGCGTTCTGGGCAATCTCATCACCTGCATCGTCATCTCGCGGAACAACTTTATGCACACGGCCACCAATTTCTACCTATTTAATCTGGCCATTTCCGACATGATCTTGTTATGCTCCGGTGAGTATAAAATATTATTTTCATATTGCGCACATAACAAGTTTGTTCGGTTCAATAGCGCAAATATCAAAAAGAATTGAAACATTAAATACTAAATATAAACTTTGAAATTATGTTGATGCTCTCGATATAAACAAGAAAGTCGAGAGCCCCTACTGTGAGATATTCGATGCTTATCAGGCTTCCTTATAGCCTTTAGATATATTTTAAAAAGGCAATACAAATACTTTCAGCATTATATCATTTTTAGGAATATATTTTTAAAGTATTTAAAGTACATTTTAATATTTATTTTTAATTTATAATTTCTTTAGTATGAAAATATTTGTATATTTATCCGCACATTTTCGTTGAGTTATTCAGTTATTCCTTTGATTATTTTTCTGTACCATCTCTAGGAATGCCCCAGGACCTGTATAACCTTTGGCACCCGGACAATTATCCCTTCAGCGACAGCATCTGCATATTGGAGAGCGTTCTCTCGGAAACGGCGGCCAATGCGACCGTCCTGACCATTACCGCCTTCACCGTCGAGCGATACATTGCCATTTGTCATCCGTTCAGGTGAGTAGGCATCCATTCCAACCGAAAACCCACTGCCCATTTCAATTTTCCCCCGAAAAAAAGGCCTAATTGGTACTGCTTTTGAAACAGGCAGCACACGATGTCCAAGTTGTCACGGGCCGTAAAGTTCATATTTGCCATCTGGATTGCCGCCCTTTTGCTGGCCCTGCCCCAAGCCATTCAGTTCTCCGTGGTGATGCAGGGCATGGGATCATCGTGCACGGTGCGTATGATTGATGGAGAACCTTTAATCGTATTTTCCGGTAGAGGAAGGAGCTACCTGGTTAATTGATTGAGCCCTTTAGCATGAATTCTATGAGAACCTTAGCTATGCAGCAATTACTTTCAAAAAAATAATTAAATCCATTAAGAGAGGTATAAAAAATGTTTATGCGTCAGTTTAGTATAGTTATTTGAGAGCTTCTATTACCTGCCAATTACTTTCTCTGATTAAATAACTTACATAAATTTAGGTGGCATTTTTCATAATGACAATGGGTAAAATTATTTAAACCATAAACAAATCACCTTTAAAATGTTATGAGTTTTCCCCCAAAAGCAAATTGACTTTTATAAATTTACAACCACCTCATGATCAATCAGTGACAATCTTTTACGATGGTTGACTCAATTCAGGGTAATCAAATTTACAGCTTTGGCCTTCCGGCTGTGGCTGTAAGCCAAAAACCATATCGCTTCGCTTGGTAATAATATGTATGCTCTTTTTTTTTGTGAAATGTCTGCCACAGATGAAAAACGACTTCTTCGCCCATGTGTTTGCTGTGTCGGGCTTCCTGTTCTTCGGCGGACCCATGACGGCCATCTGCGTGCTCTACGTTCTCATCGGGGTGAAGTTGAAGAGGAGCCGACTGCTGCAGGCGCTTCCCAGGCGCTGTTACGATGTGAACCGGGGGATAAGCGCCCAGACCCGAGTCATCCGGATGCTGGGTAAGCAGGATATGAAATATCCGAAATAACTCATGGCTGCACCAGTTCGGTACCATCTAATTCACTTCTTCCAGTGGCCGTGGCCGTGGCATTCTTCATCTGCTGGGCCCCCTTCCACGCCCAGCGACTGATGGCGGTCTACGGCTCCTCCTCGGGCATCGAGTCCCAGTGGTTCAACGACGTGTTCAGCATCCTCGACTACACGTCCGGCGTCCTCTACTTCCTCTCCACCTGCATCAACCCACTGCTCTACAACATCATGAGCCACAAGTTTCGTGAGGCCTTCAAGGTGAGCTTGCCCCCTGGAAATTCACTTCGATTGTTTTAATTATAAATAAGAAATGGTTCACGGCTTAAAGGAATGAGATTAAGGCATGGATTTCAAGTGCCTTTAATGGATTTTAAAGAATATTTCACTGACTTTATTAAAAATAGTTTTTTCTTGCTGTTGGAAATGCTTTTATCTTAAGGAACCATACCGCTTTTGTTGCCTGAGTTTATAATTACTTTAAATTCATTTAAGGTAACCTTGGCTAGACACTTTGGAATCGGTGGCAAAAACCAGGGCAGGGGGCTGCCTCACACCTACAGCGCTCTACGGCGAAATCAGACGGGTTCGGTGCGACTGCACACAACGGTAAATACATTGACAAAAATTTAATATTCCTATAAATATCTGTGATTTTAATTTGTAATGTTAAAGTAAATATATCCTACCACAGAACATTTCAATCCATCATACCAATAATACATTTTTACAAAAATGATAAAATATATATGTAGTGTTCAAAATTTGAAAATTAAATTGTTATTCTTTTACATTTTATCACAATCAAACTAAAAATTTATGAGCATGTTTATTATCAGATTTACTTTATTATCAAATTTAATCGATGCTTAGTAATAAATATAATAAATATTATAATTCTACCAATTCTGATCATCCCGACTTCTTAATTCTCACCAACAGGATAGTGTTCGAACCACAATGACTTCCACGGCGACGACGACCACAGGACTAAATGGCTGTGTCAATGGCAATGGGACGGCAACAGGTCCTTCGGCGGTGCGACTGAACCGCGTGTCCTTGGACAGCACCCAGCTGCAGGGTCAGAATCGCAGCAGGCAGGACCTCTTCGACAATCCCCGTCGCACTCTCCAGACGCAAATATCCCAGCTGTCGTCGGTGGGCGATGCCCATTCACTGCTCGAGGAGGATTTGCAGTTTCCCGGGGAGCCACTGCAGCGACAGCCGACCATGTGCTCCATTGACGAGCTCACAGATGACTTGGCCATCTCACGGTCACGCCTTAAACTTACGCGCATCACCCGCCCACCAGGAGTGACGTCGACGGGGGCGGGGGGCGTCAACGGGGGCATGGCAGGGGGCGTGAGCGGTGACGAGTCGAGTGGCAAAGTGAGCAAGGCGAAAGCGAAAGTGCTCAAGAGCTCAAGCGCTCTCAAGGGTCTCAGGGCCAAATTCAATTGGCGTGCCAGACGCAAAGGCAGCCACAAACCGCAGGCTAAGGAGGCGACGGGGGCTGTCGACGACTCCGGCGAAAGGGGGTCCGCCTTTTAGAGGGGATGTCGGATCCCCCCATCTCCCGAAGTCCATTCCAGTGCCACCTACAGACATTACACACACACAACTGTGATATGAGCAGCAAGCGCCTCTCCAGCTTGTTTGTGTTTTACTCTAGACAAATATTCCATGTTGAGGGCAATTAAATAAAATAGTTGTCCTGGCCAATAACTTAGCCAGTAGCTATAGTTCGAATTCTAGTTATAGTACTTAAATACCGCAATAAACTGTGTAGTTCATTCTCAGTTCAAAAGTGAAGTTTTATTGCTGAGGTGGGCTGCCTTATTTGTTAATATTTTGGAAATATTATATAATAAATTCTTTAAGAAAAATACATTTGAAACGAGGGTAAAAATTTAAGAAATAGAGCTATTTAATGTAATTTATCATAATTGTTATTTGTTCTATTTTACTTGGCAATTTTCAACATATTTTAGAGCTACACTCATAGAAATTTTCCGGTAAAATCGCCCTAAAAACAAGGAAAATCGCCCTAAAACGGGGGTCAATGGCGACTAGGCAACAAAATTAGGGCAAATTGCCCTAAAAATACGGGTGAATTTGTCACACATTTAGGGCGATTTTTCGTAGATCTAGGGCGATTTTTCTATTTTCAAAGCTAATTGCCCTAAAAATAGGAAATGAGACCCTTAAACTAAAGGCAGTTTCCTTTAAATCCAGGGCGATTTTTCTGGACTTATAGGCGAATTGCCCTGGAAATCGGAAAAAATACCTTTAAACTAAAGGCAGATTTTCATAAATCTAGGGTGTTTTTCTGGATTTTAGGGCAAATTGCCTTAGAAATATGAAAAAATATCCTGAAACTAAAGGCAGATTTTCATAAATTTAGGGCGTTTTTCTGGATTTATAGGCGAATTGCCCTAAAAAAAGCAAAGTGCTCCCCAAAATTTCCCGGTTTTTTTTTTTATAAATAAAAATACGATTTCATTATATTTTTTTTGTTTTTTTTTTATATTTTTGTTTGTTGTTATTTACACAATTTCTAATTATATACATTTACATACTTTTCTACTTATTCTTATTGCTAAAAGAACTACATCGATCGTAAAAATAATGTTTTGGCTTAATGTATTTTTTGGTCTTTAGGTTGTGTGCTTCCGCCGGAGGGAATTTTAGGTCTTTTAAGGTTTATTACAATAAGTACTGATTATCAAATTTTACTTCTAATTGAATGCATAGAAATAATATTTTTTTTTGGAATGAACAGATTGTTTCTTTAAAATAGTTACAGTTTTAAGGTTTTATAATCCTCCAAGAGTTCGGATAAAGCTTTACCTTTCTTATCAGACTCTAAATGAATTTCATAAAACATTTTTTGGATAAATGTCGTGGTTTAAAACAAAAAATATTTTGAAGCACACATCAATACTTTTCAATAAGGTTCGCATTCTATAAAAAAACCTCTGATAGGTAAACTGGAAATTCACCAAGGTCAAAAAGGGCTTGTTCCCACGTTGCAGCTGAATGGTTGCAGTTTCGGCTTTCCGGATTAGCAATTTTCCGTCAATGCCTTTAGATGTGTTTGCAGTTCCCCAACAGTAGCCTTCCAAACCAAGAAACGGCTTCGCGGGTCCGCAATGGTGTGCTTCGCGTTCTTGCTTCCGCCGTCCTTCTTTGTCATTGCTGTCGCACCAACACTGAATGGATCGCAAGCCAAATTAAAGTTGATTGTATCTCTATTAAATAAAAACAGTCTATTTATTGAATGAGAAAAGAAAAAGAGAAAAAGCACAGACCTTAAGCGTGGCTTTCCAAAGATTTGAGCAGTTTTATTCCCTTACTTTCGCTTTTAAAAAGTGCGAAAAGTGGTTTGCGGAAGCTGGATCTCAAAGACGTTCTCAATCTAAAACAAGAAAAAAAATTGTTAGAAATTAATATAAAAATGCACTACTAACAGTCAGAATTTTCATTTAGCCTGCGATTGCGTTTGCTGCTACTTCTGGAAAAAAAGAAGCAACAAAAGCAAATTTCGGTTACTGACGAAATGACGCAATAGAAATTTGGGGGTTATTTTGGCATATGCTCTTGTGAATGCGATTTGTCCGGTGCATAAATACAGATTTCTTGTAAATATATACATATGTATGTGTGTATTCTGTTGCATCATCTTTTTAACTCAAGCATTATTTACATATACACATACATATATGTATACTCTTATTAATGATCTTACTTTGTTTTGCCACACTTCCAAAACTTCCGCTTCTGGACCGTCTAGTTGAACAGGAATTTCTCCTCGTAGCTGCTTCCAGTCAATTTTTTTAAAGTTTCAGCTGCATTTTCCTTTGTTACAGATATGTAAATTCAATTAGTTATTAATATCCAAATTGCACAATTATATGTATGTATATACTCACCAGAAAACAGAGAAAGAATCGCCTCCCAAGTCCTTTAATAGCGTTTACATTTTTCACTTTTTCACAAACAAAAGGTTTCACAAACACGTCTTTCGCCGCCAAGCGTCCGAAAAATTATGACAAAGTCTAGACAATGCAACTCTTTCTACCCCCACCCTTGCCACTGCAACGGACGAAAAGTAGCAAAGAAGAAGAAAAAGGGTGGACTTCTCTAAAGTCAAATGCGCTCAGCATCAAAATTCATAAAAAAAGGTCCGCCCTAATATACACACACATTCACTTGTTTTGACCTGTCAACCACACACACATACACACATGTATTACATATGTATCCATTAATTGCGTCTTAAAATTTCGTTTGACTCTTCCTTGTTTTTAGGGCAATTTCAGAACATTTTTTTTGCTATTTTGTTCAACGTTTTAGGGCGATTTCGCCCTAAAAAGAAGGAATTACTTTTGGAGTCGACTCATGAAAATTCGCCCTCAAAAACAGGGCAAATTGGCCTTTTTGGAAAAACTAACCCTAAAAAATATTTTCCATGGCGATTTTTCGTAACTTTAGGGCTAGCCACCCGTATAATAAGAAAATTTTTCGTAGTTTTAGGGCGACCTCGGTTTTAGGGCGACTTTTCTAGTATTTAGGTAAAAATTTCTATGAGTGTATCCACAGAAAAACTAATTCAATTGCCATTAATTACATTTACCCTAGTGGATGAAAAGTAATATAACCATAAATATATATTTGGGTGCATATTTCATTTTATAAGTAATGTGGATCAAGCCGAGGCTTATCAAGACGAGGGTTCAACGGGCGACTGGCTAATGACTGTCAGTAAAAAGAGGGCATAGACAAAATCGCACTGCATCATAATCCCGGGCCATTAAGATGTTTATCTAGCGAACAAATTCCCTTTTCGGTCTGAAGTCTAGACGATGGATGAAAACCAAACTCGCGAATAGTCCAATATTCGCTGAAAACTGCTAGGTTCGTGGGAGTGCGAGTGTGTTTGTGTTGCTGACTAATTACCATGCCATAACCAAGTGTCCCCGGGAATTAAGTTTTAATTTCAACGAATGCAATTAGTCAGGCAAACATACCAGACTTTTCGTGAATGCAGCCAGAAATAAATGGCATTAAATTCATAAAGTGCAGCACATGTTGCCAAGATGTGGCTGCCATGAATAAATGAAACCGCAAAAACTTTACTTCATTTTGTACAAAACTTTTAGAATTAATGTTCATTTTCGGTTGCACTTAGGTAAGCACAAGTTGGGTCTTAGTTCACAATTAGCTGGCAAAATATTACTGCAACCGAAAAGCTTATGCAACAACACATCGTTTGTTGGGCTGGCTTAGGTCAAGGGAATCTAGCCCACAAATTGGCTGTTTTCCCTCTGAATGCTTCCAAAATTCGAATTTAAGCCGAAAGCCCTCTCAGTCTTTCCTCATAAAATGCGTCGTTGGAAATTTGTTACATTCTCGGAAAAAATCATTGAAAGACCGATAGAAAATACACAAATTATTGTGGAAATTGTATCAATTAAAAATATAGTTTCTCTCGTAAAATCGTTAGGACCTATATAAGCGTAAAATGTCTAAAATGAATTAGAAAATACTACAAACTTTAATTTGTAAAAAAAATATTGCAAATCTACATAAAATTCTAAAAAAAACTTTATTTTTATTAAAACTAAAATAGATTTAATACATCTGCTGAATTAATAGACAAACAAATTTGCTCCATATTCTCCTCCTGATATTTAGACAATATTGTCAACTCCTTAATGCCAGATACAAGATGCTAATCCGTTACACACGCCCAGGCGATCCACCTTTTATGGCCGGCGACCGAAACGACTTTCTGCGTCTGTTTGTCTGGGTCGGGACCCTTCTCCATCAATGGGCGCCCATCATTTATGCGACATAAAAGTCAAAGGCTGTCAAATAGTTTCGATGAACTTCATCATTTTTATGCGCACAACAAAAATAGCAAGAGGCCAAAACAGCACACATGGAAACAGAAAAAAAAAGAAAAACTCGTAGATAACCATTACTTTGCAAACCGCACAATAAATTTGAGTGGGTTTCATTTTGTGCAAATTTACTATCACTTGTCTCGATGGATAGTAGACTGAAAGCAATTGAAGCATTCAATTTACGGGGCAGCCTAAAAGCCTTTCGCAGCTCCCGTTTTAAATTCCCCGATGTGCCTTTGTTCATATCACGCATACGCAGTGTGTGCCCCACTCAGGCATTGCGACCGTCATAACGCATAAATATGAAATAAATAAGCAATTCTGTGTGGCTGGGCGGTGGCAGCGAAATAAAGCCAAGCCGATCCCAGTGACTATGCAATAAACTCTCAATTTCATTTATATGTATGAGCCATGTTAGCAATTCAAATGGACGATGTGCCAGATTCACTAAGCCCTATATGGCCCTATATACGTACGTTCGAACACACTTATGAGGTGGGCGTGCCGAAGCAATTAAGCCGTAAAATACTGTTGCCTACTTTCCGCGGCCAACGATTTACGCCGTCCTGCGAATTCCGAAACGGTGGAAAAATTGAATGGAATTTATAAGCTGCAAAATCGCCTGAACGCCAACCACTTAACCCCACTGATTGCTTTGCATAACACTCTATTAATTAGGAGCCTGCCAGGCCAGGCGCACATGTTGCAATTAAGAGAGCAAATTGAGGGGATGCACGAGTATCTTTAATAAGTCCAAACAAGTGAAAATACTGAAAAATCAGACGGAATGACTGGGGTGAGCCTTTATTTCTTATCATAAAATTGTATTTACCTTTTTAAATTTAAATAATTAAATTCAATTGGATTACAATATATTAGAATCTTTGCTGTTTCAGTTTTTTAAAAAATTCTTTTTTTTAATTTTGACGTAGCATTCACTTTTCTATATTTCTTGAATTTTAATTTCATTTTTATGAATATAAAAGGAAGTTAAGTAATCTTTTAATTCTTTCTCAAAAACAAAAGTTATGTTACATGAAAACATGTTAGCTGCATCAGGTTATTTTCGGTTCACCCCAACTCACTCTTATTTGGAATCCAACACATAGCGGGCAGTGCATTTGGCACTTCACTATGACCGACCCCCTTCATCCTCTAGTTCAATAGAACTCCCCTTGATATAGACAAGATGCCTGTGTTGCCGGATCCACTTGGCACGTACGGATTGATGATTCCATTTGCGAATTGTGCCGAGTATATGGTGGTTGATATGTTTGACTTTACGTCCGGGACGGGTGCCTCTACTTTATGTATTTGCTCAGTACAATCCCATACCTTTTCAGCCTTTAACTCTTGCCGGAGATCTGGTTTCTTGGCTTTGTGGGTGTTGTCGCTGCGAAATGGAAATGGCATTGTTTTGCGCATTTCGCACGTAGTTACTCCTCGTGGGAGTGTACTCGTAAAAGCGAATTTCATCGGATCCGAAAGGGGAAAGGAGCTCAATATGGTTGGATTGCCTAAACACCAACTAAGCTGCAATTCAATCGCTGACTTGTCTTTTCCCGGGCGACGCCTTTATTGCTAAATCACTTACTCCTCCTTCCGGAATAGAGAAACCGACAAATTTATATTGTTTTTGGATAAAATTCAATTGTCTATGCATAGAAAATTACCTTATTAATATTACCCGTAGTAAATGCACTCTTCAATACAGACTGACTAATGAATTTCTTAATTTTTTTAAACATCCTCTTCATTTACAAATTTATAACCACTCCCCGAAACCCAAATCAGAGCAACAAGAAATTATTCAATACTCAGTAAAAACAGTAAAAATCGCTTTCAAAACTAGTTTTCTGATAAAATCAGAAATTCGTTAAAATACGTTTTTAAAAGCTTTCGATGTTGAACAGCGAACTCTGAAGTAAAGTAAATAATTCTTAACAAAACGCCAAAAACAGCTCATCAAACGGCACGAGCTATCAATTATTCATACATATACTTCTTATTTGTATTTAATATATTCGAAACAATTTTTTTAGAGGCGTGCGACCCTGCCGGCAAATCAAAAAGTTCAAATTCGAGCGAAGTAAAAATAGATGGCAGTAGCTATAATTATGATGCATGACACATAAACAAGGGGCTTAAGGTCTGAAACTGTCACCCAATGCATTTTTTATGGAAAGCTTATTTTTATATTTTTAGTTTCAGGTTTACATAAATACAAATTGCGGTTATAGAGTTCCAAGAAGTCGGTATAATTCCATTGACCAATCGCACCGAAATAACCAAGGGCAAATATACGATTCTGGTTTATCTCGGTCCACCATCAATGGTTTCGCAAAATATTAATCAGAACGCCCAAAGAATTTGCCGGCAACCGGTTATCCTAAAGTCTGCATATATTTAGTATTTGATATGATAATCAGTTCTTGATCAGCTTCTTAATTAAACAAGAGTGAATGCAGCTAAATAAAAACAAGAAAGGAAGCTACCTTCGGCCAGCCGAAGCTTATATACCCTTGTAGATAAAAGAATGCTTACTCGGTGCAGTTCCAGGGATTTCAGATTCAGCGTTTCGATTTATTTCAATTTTGTTTTTAAGTAGTCAAGAATCAAAACGCCTACTTCCTACAAAGTTACAATGAATTTTCTTATATTTGTTTGGGAGCCTTAAGATATAGTGGTCCGATCCGGCTGGCTCCGACATATGTACTACCTGCAATAGAAAGAAGACCTTCGGGAAAGTTTCATCGCGATAGCTTTAAAACTGAGAGACTAGTTCGCATAG